GGGGGTGACGAGTTGGCCCGCGGGCGTCCCGGGACCGTGAGAACACCACCTATAATATTATTTAGTCTGCCTCGGTTCGCCTCACCTCCCCTCCCTCCCGGGCCCGCTCTCGCCTCTTTCCTCGACCTCTCTCTGTCTTTTCTCCCTCTGATCCCTTTCCCTCCACTTTCTTCCACTTCGTCCTCCCTCTCCCCCCCCCCCCACCCCCCGCCTGCCTCCTTTCGCGCTTGTCCTCCCCCTCCCGCTTCGTAAGTAAGTATGCAAGCTTCTTCTAAAGGTTGGTCGCCCGTTGCCCGGTCTTCGTTCGTTCTCTTGCCGTCGAGCTTCTCTGTATCGAGAGAGTTGGCGGCGCGTTTTCCTCGCCAACTCTTCTTCCTCTGCCACGCTTCTCTCTCTCTCTCTCTGTCGCGCGCGCAACGAGATCCGTCCGTCCTTCTTGCTCCCGAAGGGCTAACTATAGGCGCGCGCTAGCTATGGGCACGGTTTAGCTCGCGCCCATTAATTGCCATCGTAAATTGTTGCCGGTTTTGCGGCGGAAACGAGGCACGCCGGCCCCCTCCCCGCGCCTTTCTCCATTTTCCAGGGGGGAAAATGTCTTCTTCTTCTTCTTCTTCTTCTTCTTCTTCTTATTCTTCTTCTTCTTCTTATTCTTCTTCTTCTTCTTCTTCTTCTTCTTCTTCTTCTTCTTATTCTGGGATCGTAGAGGAATAAAAGTATCGAGAACTCGATCGAATTAGTGGAAATAGAAATGGAAGAAATGGACGGATATGATGATTGGATCGAGGATGAATGGATGATGTATTTGTGGAATTTGCGGTAATGGAAATGTGTCTCGATGACACGTGACTTATTAATTCTACGACTTAGGATTATCTATCGGAAGAAAATGTTTGAAAATTTGCTCGGTTCTGAAAAATTGATTATGATCGAGTGGTAAAGCGATAGAGTGTGGAATTGGCATGGCTATAAGAAACGTTCACACGACTCGGTATGTAATAAAGCCGAAGAAGATATGGTAGATAGTTAAAATTTGCTTGTTACGTTAAGCGAAGATTGGTTTCATCGGTATATAAAATCGTGTGCGCAAGTTTGCAACTCATCGCATAGTGATCTACAGAACGATAAATCAAGTTAACGGTACACGCATCCTTATTGAACTTTTTACGTCTTTCGAGTATTTTATCTCCAACAAAAGTCTCGAGTTTGTTCTCCAACGTATAACTATATAAGCGTCAAACATTTTTCAATCATTTAGATATCGATAACAATAGAATTTATCTAATCGTTTCGACACAGATGCGAACGATGTTTGTTCATTTCTAAACTAAATAAGATAATTTAATAATAAAAAAGATTTATTATACAAATAGTTAATTACATTCAATTTTTTTCAACTTCAAATTATACCTAATAAACGCATAAACATCCGCAATAAGAAGTTAAAAATTCATCAAAACAAACTAATAACTCGCATCATTTCGAACATTTTACAAGCAACTAAACAATTAATTTCATCCTGAGACATCGTTTAGCATCTCGACCTGGGAGCATTTCCATCAACGTAATGACACTGTATCCGCGTGTTCGGATTGTTAAACGCGCGAATAGCTCGAGTACGAACAAGCAACGTCGTATTTACATTGTTTATTGCCCGACGTGTACGTATCGTGGCTGGTGACACTCGCCATGACAGAATTTGCTGTTCATTACTTTCACGGCTCACGGTATGTTACGTAAGTACCTCATAATTCTTAATTCGCGACGTTTTAATGATAGCCGCGGACACAGAAGCGCGGAGATTTACCGATACGTTCCTAGACAGAAATTAATTTAACCTTCAAGCTCTGTTGCGACGTACAAATTGAATGAAACGTTTCGTGACTGCTCCACCAAATCTGTTCGGTTCAACATCGAGAACGAAGGGTGGCACGAAATATCAAGCCACTGTGTTTTCACAGAAAACAATCCAATTTTATCCACGTTCCATATTTCTCGAAATTCCGATTCAGAATCAGAATTAAGGTTACCGATATTCTCTACCAGATATTTTTAAATTCTTCGTTACAAAAACTTGCAATAAACAAACAATTTCGTTAGAAATCTATCGCGTTGCTTCTTTGGTTCGACACGCTTTCGATCAACAATCGTCTCCCCCTAAATCCATCATTTCGAATTATCGAATATAACTCGGGGCCCCCGACATTCCTCGATTATCTTTCCATCTGCCCGCGTAAATCCCAAGTAGCGCTCGGAATCATCTCGTAAGAACGGTCTCGAGGGGTGACGTCCCCTATGGCCGGGCGCGCGCGCAGTGACGCGTGCACGCGAGATTACGAACGACGCCGTTTACGCCGAAACGGCGAGCAATTGCGTGGCCAGCTGTGTGGCTCTCTCTCCAGAATCCGGGGCCCGTTCCTCGCGGACGGTCCCAACTCGCCTCGGATACCTGCCACCAGGTGTCTCCACGAGCAGTGCCCAGCAGCGAGAGGCAGGAGCAGTCGTCGAGGCGCCTTCGCACCGCCAGCATCGCGCGCGTCTCTTCTCTTTCCCGTTACCACGTTCGTCCACCCTGCCGCGAGCATCCCTCGACGATAGCTCGCGATCGACGCGTGAAATCGCCGAGCATGAGGCCCCTGGCCCACCACGGGGCCCCTTCGATCGACCAGTGACAATCTCGACCACAGCCAAGTCGAGAAAACAACAACCTCGAAACGAACCGACGGATCGCCGGACCAGACCTCGCCAATGCTGCCGGCAACAAGTCGGCAGCCCCTCAGCCTGACCGATTCTAGCGACGGGGGAGGATGCAACAGCAGCAGCAACAACAACAACAGGACCAGGAGCAGGATCGGGGAATCGTAATGGTCCCGTCCTCCTCCTCCTCTTCCTCCTCCTCCTCCTCCTCCTCCTCGTCCTCCTCCTCCACGTCCGCCGCCGAGGTCAGAGACGTCGCGAGTGTGACAGAGGCTGGACTGCCCAATTTCACGTTGCAGAGCGTCGCTCTTGGACTCCAAGGTGCCCTACTTGCCGCCCTTCAGAGAGTCGCTCTGCTACCACCTGGACATGCCGCGGCCGCCGCCTTGAACCTCCAAGCGTTGGAGACGTACTTGACCCTTCATCGCCTCCACGCAAGTAGCACCGCGTCGAGTGTCGGCCAGTCGTCCACCGGATTAGGCAATCAGAGGTGTTCGCCGGTGAACACCGGGTTGGAGACCGCGTTGACTTCCACGACACCGACGAAGAACGATCACCTAGCCGCCGAGAGGCTGTTGCAGTCCCCGGGGGACGAGGAGGACGAGGCCCGGCTGGATTTTATCGGGGACCCCGACGAGGATTTGGCCCTGTTGGAGGAGCAGGAGGCGTTGTTGAGAGACACGTCCGTGGCCGCTTCCTCCTCCACCACCGATCACGAGGCCCTGTTGCGACGGATATCGGACGGGAATCGCGCCGGCTCGAGCTCGGTGACGACGGCCGCCCAGTCCCTGCCGCAGATCGCCGCTTCCTCGTTCACGTCCCCGTCCACCTCGTCGTCCGCTTGCTCCTCGTCCTCCTCGTCCTCGTTGTCCTCCTCGTCGCCGTTGCAGGCCACCTCCACCTCCGCCGAGTCGAGCATACCGAGGACGTGCAGGGCGTCCAGGCCCAAAAAGCAGTTCATTTGCAAGTTCTGTAGCCGCCAGTTCACGAAGAGCTACAATTTGCTGATACACGAGAGAACGCACACCGACGAGCGGCCGTACTCGTGCGACATTTGCGGAAAGGCCTTCCGACGGCAGGATCACCTGAGGGATCACAGGTAAGTCGGGGGACTGGTGCCAATCGCTTTCGTTTTACAACGTGAAACGATCCTTTTTTGGGAAGAATTTCTCTGGTATAATCGTCTGTCTGGGTGGAATCGTAGGTCGTTTCTTCTTTCTTCTTCTTCTTCTTCTTCTTCTTCTTTCTTTTTTTTTTCCTTTTTTGGATTTTGATCTTCGGTTCGGTTAGTTCCTTCTCGATATTTCGAATCTCGTCTCGTCCATCTTTCTTAACTTTTTTAAAATTAATTCCGATTCTTAACTTAAGTTTTAATCGAATCGTAGAATTTTGTAGAATCGTCTTTTGTATTTTCTCATAATTTTTGTTCAATTTCAATAAGTATCCCGTATAACAATTACTCGATTTTTCATCGGTTTCAACCTTTTTTTCCCGATTAATTCGATCCATCTCGGAAACTACACCACAAAATAAACATTCGTCACGAATCGTTACATCGATCGAAGTCACTTTTATTCATCGTCCAAGTTAATATTCAAAAATTAACCCGAGCGTGGATGGAATCGCGGAAAAGGACGCGGATAGATAAAGCCGCTTATTATATATGCTTATTGGCGGAGGGAAGCGCGCATCAGGCGATAGTATAGTTATACACCCAATCATCTCGTGAAACACGCTTTCTTCCCCGTTCAACTTTCGCGCACGACCGTGCTCAAATTGATTGCGATCTTTTGTGCTCCGTCTAAATACGACCAAATGATACGGTTCGAACGTGTAATTATGAAGATTATGGTCGCGTTATAATTAATATCGAACAATTTTTCGCGACAATTTATCGTGGTTTTTCGTATTTTTGATCATCGATCATCATGGCGTCGACACGCACGCCCGCAATTAACCGTTAATTCAACTGTTAGGCGTTCTTCGATTCTTCGATTTTTATTATTTCTTTTCTTTTTTTTTGAATAATCTTCGTGATTTATTTTTATTTTCTTCTCTCCTCTTTTTTTCTTTTCCTTTTTTTTCTTCAAGAAGATGGAGGAATGTTTTCGCTTCGGTTTATTCATTGTTCGAATGAAAAATTGAAAAATACAGATATTTGGTAATCAATTCGAGAATTTTGAATTAATTTTTTTAGAGTCTAGTTTAAGAGTCAGGATTTTTGGGATTGTAATTTTTTTTTTTTGTAATTTGTATAATTTAATTTTTTTTTATAGCTTTATTTATTTTAAATATTTTTGCATTGAAAATGTTGAATTATTCAACATTTCGACTTGTTATCCTTTTTTTTTTTTTTTCTTAATTCTTAATTTATTAACGCGTTTAATATTAGCATAGTTTCAGAATACATAGACTCTTATAAATTTTAATAAGTTTCTTCGCCGCGTTCATTAGATTATCGTATGCTTACGATTATTCGTGGATATATCGTGTATAAAAATTTGTAAGAAAAATAACTATTTACAAACTTTCCTCTCTGCTTACTGCAGATAAACATAATAATTATATAATAAATAATTGTCCTCCTAATCATCTAAACAATCGTCGCTACCGACACGATTTGCGAACAAAGATTTTCGTATTTCATTCTACTAACTGGCAATTTATTTATAATCCTAATTAACATACAATGCCAAAATCTTAACCGTCCATTTTCTGCAGCACTGACAAACCTCTCGCACAAATTCCATAATCCCACGCAACCATCCTCAAACAACGATGCTTAAACCAACGACAAACCTCCTCACTCGTTCTCCAAAATCAAAAATTTTCACGCTTCGTCGCTTCGACAATCAGTTAATCCCACTGATCCCTTTAATCCCATTACACTGACCACTCCTGAAAATCTCGTCATCGATATCGTCACACTTAACGTTAGATTTTTATCAAATTGATCGAACTGATTTGCGCCAATTAAAATTATCCAAAACGTTAGTTTTTCCATAACGAACGATAAAAGAGATACGATTAGATACAATAACAAATAAATTATATTCGGATAATTCAAAGGTGGAAAATCGATCGATCCGTTGCAGGTACATCCACAGCAAGGAAAAACCGTTCAAATGCGCCGAGTGTGGAAAAGGATTCTGTCAGAGCAGGACCCTGGCCGTGCACAAGATCCTACACATGGAGGAATCACCCCATAAATGTCCAGTGTGCGCAAGGAGTTTCAACCAGAGAAGCAACCTGAAGACGCATCTTCTCACGCACACGGACATCAAACCTTACCACTGCGCCTCCTGCGGCAAGGTGTTTCGCAGGAATTGCGACCTGAGGAGGCACTCATTGACTCACAATTTGGGTGTATCGACGTCCCCTCCACCACCAGGGATACCTGTGCCTGGTACAGGGGCGGTAGTGCTGCAAGAGACGTCCTAGTGGCGCGTGGATCGACTGTGACAAGTCTTGGCACCGTGCTAGGGACATTTTATTCTACCGAGCCCTTCGCTTCGTTCGATTTCGAGAGGAATATTATAAAAGGAAAGGTTTTGCCATGTTGAAATCGGCGAAAGGAAAAGGGCAAAGGAGTAGGTAATTGGTTCGATAGACTGATAGTGGAAAGTCTAATATTGTACTAGGGACATTTATTATTTGCACCGAGTCCAAGTTTGATTCTTGCATTCCATTTTTGAGGGATGAATAAATTGGAGAATTTTCGAGAAATTTTGGTCGAAGGATATCGAAAAGATGGGCGAAGAGGGGTGGAAAGAGTATAATTGATTTTATAAATTATTGTGAAAAATCTTTGGTATTCTTTTACGGATATTTATTTTTATATTTTATACACTTTCGTTCTTCTAATTTTGATATTAATTTTGAGAAATTAACCTGAAGGAATGTTTCATAAATGAGACATCAAAGTCGTGAAAAGAAGAACGAAAAAAATGGATTGACATTGTGAAAAATCTTGGCATTATACTTTAGGGACATTTACTTTTGTATCGAGTTTAGAGTAAATTTTGATGAAATTGCGACTAAGAAAATTTGTATTCGTTCAATATCGAAGAATAAATTCAAACAAATTCAAACGGATTTCAATGTCTACGAAAGAGTAACGTTTATAATATAATCGGTCATCGTTTGAATTCGCGAAATGTAGATGAAATGTTGAAGATTCGTAAGAGTTAAGCGGACTTTGGGTCCTTGATATTTAGCTGCGTATGTATTTCGTAGTTGTTAATGCGTAGAGTATAATTATAACTGCATATAAAGATGTTATTCATGAATTCACGTTCGTTAGATCTGTAATTATGTTACGTATTACATGTATAGGTAGCCGGAGTTAGGATTTATCTCTCACACTGTGTACCTATGTGCCCATGTTGTGTTTCGTTTGTACGTGTAAAATAAACTTTTATTATATATTATTTTTTAATTATGTCGTTGTATTTATTGTTCTTTTACCACTTCCTTTCCTGTAGAAATTAATTTTCAATATTAATCAATACTTCTGATAAAAATTTAACAGAAAAGTAATCACACAAAAATAAAAGAAGCAAAGCTATTTCCAATATTCTCTTCACTTCAAAAATAATACTTCGCATATAACAACGAACATAGCAAAAAAAGGTAGTGACGAATTAAAAGAAGAAACAGTAATGCCTCTAGAAAAGCAACAAATTGTAAGAAGAAATAGTGTCTGTCTTAAAACAGAGAGGCAGCAACAAAGTGAAAGGAGAAATAATAGTATTATAGTTAAAGAAGGAGAAGAAGAAGCAGGAGCAGCGAAAAGCACGACGACGACGACGACGAAGAAGAAGAAGAAGAAGAACAAGAAGAAGAAACGCGTGTATCGTGTTACAAAGAACGAGGCCGCCAGGTGCGCGGGACATGACACCGCGATACGTCTAGGGTTACGTTCTTTTTCGAAGGTAGGTGCTGGAAAGGCACGAGGTGGGCCCCGAATACGCTATTTCGGGCCCGAACACGGGACAGCTCGCGTCGATAAGGAGAATCTCGCACGACCGGTCGACTTCCACTTCTTCTTCCAACAGACCGCTCCGACTAGGAGTTCGTTCTCGAACTTGGAAACTCGAGGAATTTCGATCCGGATCAAAAATAAGAAAAGAAAAGGGGAAAAAAAAAAAGAAAAAGAAAAAGGAAGGAACGAGTGAAACCTCGTGTCTCAGTCTTGTAAGACGAATTTACATAATTTCTTGACAGTTATAGCGGTGAAATTAATTCGGTTTTAATCCGGATACGATGGATTTGATATCCATTTTGATTTGAATCGTATCGTTCTCTGAGCATTTTGAGGATCCTGTTCGTGAAAAATAGGAATAGATACAATTTTTTCGTGAAAAGATTTTTTTTTTAAACTCAACTGGCCTGTCGTTGTTCCACGTATTTATTTTCATCTCGAGTTTGAGAATTATATTATTATAAAAAAATATTACCGAAGTTGGAAGAATTAGTAAAAAAACATTTCAACTTGCAATCAATTCCGTATCTTTAATGCCTTCGAAATTAAAAAATTCATCCTCACCATTGAAGATCACGGGTCGCGGGTCAAACAGGCCACCAGTCGCAAAACGATCGTGACACCGGTATCGCGGAGAGAAGAGTAACCCAATCGTCTCTTCTTCGAGGCACGCGTGTAAAGATACCCATACGCAGGGAACTACGTGTTCCGCTAAGCTCGTAGTGGAAGAACCATCGGCGACAGTAAAGAAGGAAAAAGAAGACCAAGACAAAGAAGAAGAAGAAGAAGAAGAAGAAGAAGAGATTCCGTACGAACGAAGAGTAGGACTGACCAGACGTGTTATCGACGCTCTGCCAACCCCTTAAATCAGCGAAGGTGAGCCAAGGGGGT